GAAGTCCGAAAAAGGATATCTTAATATAGAATGAGGAAAACTGTTGTAAAGAGCCAATGGAAACCGACGAGACGAGAAAATACGCCATATCAATATTGTAAATACCTAGTGCCGTACAGCTTACGCTGAGCCGGATGCCCTTGTCACCTTATTTTTAATTGTTAAGCTGTGTTAAAGTTGTATTTTTTTGTTATGGTGACAATAAAGGTTTATTTATTTATTTATTTATTTATTTAAAAAAAATGTCAGCATTTTCAGGGAAATTTTAAACATGAAAAACCTTTTTACTATACATTCACTCGATTAACATTACTCTATGTTCTATACATTCGTTTTAGATCGGTTATTGATACATACTTAGTGCTTTATTTATATTATATTTATATTATATTATTTATATTTTATATACCTACTTTAAATTATGTTACCTATTTTATTATTTTTCTAGAGTCACTACTAAGTACCACCATCTTTCTTAATAGTCCGGTAACCCTTACATTAGTTATTCGGTAAGTCTTTATTTACAATAAACAGATTTTTTTTAAACTAAGGCAAACTTAACTCTAAATAAAATAAAAATATACTTATTTTACTCAAAAATGAAAGTGTGTCCGTGAGGCAAAGAGGCGAGGATGCTGGCTGCATTTCCTCCTGTTACCTTAAAACGTTAGATTATAATCTAACCTAACCACCCACTGTTAGTTTATCCTCCTGAGACCCCCGGTGTCACTCGTGACACTTGAGTATATTTTTTTTTACAGCGCCATTTATTGGTATTTATGAAAATTAATAAAAGTGTGTGAAACGTTGGAATATGTCACATATCTAAAAAATTGCTATGCCTCGTACGAAAGGGTTTTTGATTTTGTAAACATTAATTGAAATTTTGAATTCGCGCGACCTCCGACATGACACATTCCAGGAAAAGAAAATATTATTTAAAATAAGTTTTTTGGTATTGTTTTGTGTTTTCTGTGTGCTACGGTAGTANTATTTCAACATATCTCTCAGATTGTGTGATAAAACTATTAAAATGTTTCTATTGTAATAAGTATTTTCGTCAATTAATTCGAGTGTCACTGGTGACACTTTGGGCACTCGTGACTTGAAATATGGTCCGTTTTAGGATTGTCTGATGGTAACGTAAAGTCAATGTTATGCAACTTTGATGAGACAGATGATGAAAAAATTGATGCTCCATCCTCAGATCAGACCCTGGAGATCATTCAAGACCAGAGTACTTGTCAATACCAATCAAATGATTCAAAACTCGACAGAGTTACATCGTTTAGTCACAGAGTTTCTATGGCTACCTTCCGTCTCCATCATCAGATCAGCTCCATGACCTCATTATATTGAAGTTTCATCTGAGTTACATGTCTATGCAAAATTTCAGCTCAATCGGTTGGCAGGAAGTAGCTCTAATTCAGCTTCCAAGATTTTACTCAAACACAAATCACACATTTATTGCAAGTAAAATTAAAGTTTGTAATAACAAGTTCAATAAAAGTAAATCTTATATGATTCTAAACAATTGCAGATCAATTTGAAACTAAAAACACCTATTTTACCAGACCTGAAGTAATTAAAATATTAATTAATTCAAGCCCGTTTTAATGTCTTTGAAACCCGTAGTGTCACTGGTGACACCCCCCATTTTGACGTATGTAGGGGGGCTAGATTTTTTTTCGCATTTTTTGTTAGTTGTACATATGAAACTTAGCCTGCCTTCCAAAATTCAAGACAATCCGTCAATTTTTAGGGGTCTGGGTCTCAGGAGGTTATAATCTCACGCGTTATATTTTAAACTGACGAAGCTCTCAATTTCACGTTGACATATACGAAAGACGGTAAATCAAGCACAACAAGGTTATAATAAGAGCTATTTAAAAAAATGTATGTCCTGAAATGTGCTGCCGATTGTACGTACATAAATATTTGTTTTGGTTCACACGCGTATAATCTTTAAGCACATATTTGGCATTAAATAACATTAATTAAAATCCAGACATTTTAATTAGACAGATAAAAACCGCATTATCTCTGAAGGTCTTCTTTCACGTGTAGTCTGAAGTTTGGGTATGTAAAGTGTAAAAAGTGCTGTGTAACTACTATGCTATCAGGCATGTTGCTGGTTTATTTGAAATTCATCATCATCATCATCATCATTCATCCATAGGACGTCCACTGCTGAACATAGGCTTCACCCAATGATTTCCACAATGCCCGGTTGGTGACGGCCTGCATCCAGCGCCTTCCTTAATTATTTGCAAATTCCTTCATAAATATTCATCTGCCGACATAAATTGGAATTTAAATGAAACAACTGTTTTTCAAACTCAAAAGTAAATGTTTTACTTGTTAGAACACGTGTATATTTGCCCAGTTTAATCAATGTACGGTTGCAAGCGCCGTTTCCACGTAGGTATAGCCTGGTGTCAATCAATAAACCAATTGGGATTATCAATAAGTTAATCTATGTCACCATATTGATAAGCCATTTCGATGACTAATCGATATAATGTATAAAGTGAAACTTGTATCGTTATCACCAATTCATATTGTTGCCTATACCCTGAAAGAGCCTTTTTTAAACTATTCAATCAGCAACTGTAAATGTATTCTAGCTAAGATACGATTATGATCGCTTCACTGAAACTCTTACATACTTAATTAGATAAAAATTCTGAATGCAATAATGACATTACGAATCGCAATTTATAGCGAGTCTACAAAACACTTTCATTCAGTGTGGCTACAATAGTAACATAATATTTTTTTGTATTTATACTTCTGAAACCGTTCGTATTTAATTATTTTAATTGTATTTATCCTGGCAACATTGAGTGTATATTTATCAACGGCGCTTGCAAATGACAACATAATACCTACCTACATGTTTTTATGAACCGACTAATTAGTACAAGACCTTTGTGTTATTCTTAATGACGTTGGTGTAATTATCATTTTTGAATCACAACACGTGTGACCTAATTAAAAAAACCACCTCTTTTAAGGCGTCATAATATTTTCCCGTATTTCCATTGAGAATACCAGCTCTTAGCATAAAATATGCATATCAAGTCCTCTGAAAGTTTTTGAAATGCATTAATTGTTTTAAGACAGAAGTGGGTCTCACACAGTCTTGGCTAAAGAGTTTATGCAGTGCACGAAAACAAGATAGCTGTGAAGTGAGTATGAAAATATTTCAGTTTCACAAGGTGTTACTAGTAGATCGATACTCATGCATCATTCATGATGTTGCATCACTTCCAGTCAGTTAAGTTATATGAAACTGAAAACAACGTGAGCAAGAAGTTGAAATTTAAGGCTGAAATATTTTTTTGAAACGGAAGCATTGAATAATTTTTTTGCTGCTTTGAATGGTTTTCTGCTACTTTTGATCTTTAATTGAAACGGAGGACGAAAATTGAATCAAAGAGCGAGGTTTCGTTTTTCCCACAAAGAAAATGCTGCATTGGTCTTGGCTTGCTTTTCCTGATGAAAAGTAATTATCAGACCGAAAGTGAAGGTAAAATAAAGTTAGGTATAGGTCTAAATAAGTAACACTTTATTATTGAAAAGGTATCACTTGTGGAAAATTTACTGAGCTCAATATCAAAGAGCGTTGAATACTGAAATAGAAATCCTCTAAACTTTCAGTGTTCTTGCCTTTTCAGCTATCAAAGTTAATGGTATAAAATAAAATACTAGACTTTCCAACAATTATTAATCGAGCAAATTCGTGACTTGTAGTAATTTGATAAATGAGGTTTGATATTTGTAATTTTGCTGAAGTTAACTCTATCAAAATTTATGGTGATTTATAAGAAATAGCAACGATCAAATAAATCACTTCAGTTGACATGGTGATCAATTATATTATTATTTACATTTATTTTATGAATAGGGATCGCATTTCACGTTCGTGGAAATAATTTTATGATACTGAATATTATTTATTTCTGTAGATAATTGTGTTTAAGAAATGGGCAAAGGTTTATTCCGCTTGTAAATTGTAAGCTCCTTTTCTAGAGAAGATTTTGAAAGAGTTCAAGTAGATTTGTAATTGAAACGACATCAAATATCTGGCAATATTATTTTACATTGTCTTTTTGGAAATGTTGGGCCAGTTCATGGACCATAATTATCTCGATGTTAGTTGCCAAAGAAATGTTAATAATTCACAAAGTAATGATTTTCTATAGAAATGCACCTAGTTAAATATTTTAAATATTTTCCTATATCAATCTGTATTACATGGCAACCATTAAAATCACATAACGAGTGCGGTTACATCGCAAGCTTCGCAGCCCATTTTTCATGGACTCAAGCAATAAATCTAGAATCATGTTTCACTGTGGAAAAATGGCTATATTTAGTTTTACTCTTTTCAAATTTTATAGTGCACATTGTCGGTGAGTATTGATAACCATGCAATAAGGTAAAATTTTAATTTAACCTTATTGCATGTTATTTAATGCACGGTTACCTTTAGGTAACTGTGTAATTAAAGGCGAAAATATACGAACAACATTGTCAGAGTTTACAAGTCCTAGAGTTGGTGATTACTCCAACATTCAGATGTTAGTTTTTTTTATTAATCTATCTGCGATCAGCCATCAGCCTTTACCAGATTGGATTGAATTGGTAATAATGACAGTTCCGGCTCTGCACATCCCATGATGTGTCATCTCGATTATTTTACAATAAGTTTTCAGATTGATGCTATTCGCTTTTTCCTGAGCCTGAATGTAGAGTTCTTAGAATTTAGAAGGGATGCAGCAAGTACATTTTCATGACGCTGAAATCTTTGATTGTAAGTTTTACAGGACTCTTCTACAACCTCTTTGACGTTTGGTATCTCCAGGTATTCATGTACTGTAGTGGACTTTGTAAACCAAGGTGCACAGCTCAAGAATTTTAATTCTTTATTTTGAAAATGTTGAAGTTATTTCTACAAGAGAATATTTACCTACGTACATGTAAAAGACATTTACCTTTTTCGTAGCCCAGTTGTTTTTGCAACACAGCTCGGTGGAGTTCGCTTGTAAAATTGGAGTGGTTGGTATAAGATGACCCGTTTTGCAGCTTCCTTGTCGTGTCACTGCGAATAAAAGCAAACGTCAGGCGTTGGGATGGTATTAAAGCACGTACAAGTCAGTTCCATTGTACATTTATAGTCGACTTCACATCAGAACGAAAATGTGTAAGACATTTTTGTTTCAAAATATAACTTATAACTACAGTAGGTAATATGGCTTTAATATTTAGTTTTACGTGCCGTCGTTTGCACAAATAAAAACTATAATATCAAATATGGTGGTGTTTAAGGGAAGGAAAATTAATGAAAAACTGAAATAAATAATTATGGAAATAACCTTTAGTTAGAGTAACTTTCTTCTGAAAAATGTATAAATTATTATCTTAACAAACGGATAAAGCAAACATTACTAAAGTTGAAAATAACAAATAACACAATAATAATTATTGTGTTTAAACTTTCGAGTTGCAAACGCCTTGCAAATACAGATAATTATTTATTATTGCCTAATCGCGTATTGCGTTTACCACTCATGATTAAGATTCAATTAATTAAATTACAACAAATGCAAATCGCTGTGTGAGAAGGGATCCAGAAAGAGAAAAATAAAAAGCGTTTGTCTTTCTAGACAGAGACTAATGATGACAAAGGGGAATTAACCCACTGTTAAAGTGTTTGCTAAATAGCAAAAACTGATACTCTTTGTGAAGCTTTACTTTCAAAGGGAAAGAAAGAAAATGTAAGCTATAAAACACTTTTCTTAAGGACACGGCTGCTTATGGTCGTTGAAATAAATATTGCATTATCATTATGGTGTGTCGAAATAAATATTGCAGTTTCATGTGTTAAGAACTTAGGTGTGACTAAGGAGCGAGTTTTGTTTTGGTCTATTCCACTTTGATCATCTGGATTTGATCACCCAGGCGATCAAAGTGGACTCCAAGCGACACTTTAGTGTCCTTTATCCTGGGTGATCAAAACCAGGTGATCAAAATGGAATAGACCTCTGTTTTTAACCGGCTTTCAAAAGTTTCCCAATTCGTCGCTCTCTTTTTTTTCAGATCTGAACCGATTTGGAGAATTCTTTTTTATTTCGAAGCACTGCCCAACTGATCCAATGAAAAATTCAAAAACGGTTCAGTTGTTTTATTGGCTGATGCTTGATAGAGTCAAGCATCTGCGAATATCAGAACGTAAATTGAGTTGCAACTATTATAACTTTTACTTTTGTAACATGTATTAATTTGCTGGCTAACCACAAACTTATGCAAAGCATACATGAAAGTTTACATTGCTTTTAAAGATAAAACTATTTTGTTAATTGCAACTCTGTTAAGTGATATTTGAATAATTTATGAGAAAGTTATTTCTAACTAAGAGGTTTTCAGCACTAGATGGAACGACCGTGCATATAAAATGTTGTAAAATCAAATGTTTGTTTCTGAAAGCTTCTAAAAGTAGTTTTCATCTCAGCTAAGTATAGGAAGCTCTTAACGTGTATAGTTCTATATTTACCCCTATATTTAGTGCTTAAAGCTGTTATAGATACATACAGTAAAATGAAAAAAACGAGTAACATACTTATTTATAGTTTTTGAGGTGTGGCAAAGTCAATTTATCAGATGGTTAATTTTTCGCCTTATGGCACGTGTATACTTCAGTTAAAAGCTTCAGTTAGTACTATTGCGACTTAGAAACTAAATAGAAAGAGTTTTTATACTTTGGGTGATGTGAGAAAAATAATGTATCGGATGGTATATTTTTCGACTTATGGCACCTTTATTTATTTTGATCCCATCGCGACTTATAGTCTAAATAGACACATAATTGGTGGCATCGAAAAGTTTGAGTTATTTGCGAATTTTCTTCTTCACTGTAAGTGTTTTTAATGAGTCATTTAACGTTTTTTTTAATAGCTAAGCTTGTTCAAGTGCCTGCCCCAAAAAATCTGCTAGTAAGAAGGTATAAGTGCCTACTGTGTAGCATACGAGAGTGTTGGCATACCGCCAAAACTGAACACGATGGTAGCTACAAAATCTTTGAAGAAGCTTGACCCGTTTGCCTTTGACAAATTGAGGGTAGATTAGCCGACAAAACTTGCAAGCTAATGTAGTAGAATAGTTACAATTTTACCTATGTAAAATAGCAATTAACAATGTATTTATTATAAAATATAAATAAATATTCTGATATCCCTTCATTCATCTTGAATTACTTACATTACATTCAATACATATTATTATAACGGTAGGTAACTCACTTTTTATTCGAAGTAACATTGCTAACTTTTTTTACCATTTCCACAAAGTCTTTCTATAAATAAGCCTAATTCTATTCGCTCTCCCTGAGGGGTCTCTCTATCCCTGGTGACCTGTAATACAAGTTTCTTCTGAGAATTACATCGGGTAGCAGTCTCTCACAATGATATGGGTACATAGATCCAGTATTGTAATAGACCTAATTTAGGATGCATAATGTATTGTGGAGAGATAAATAAACAAGTAAGTGCCTACAACAGCCTGAATAAGTGGCTATAATTAATGTGAAATATTATGTGCTCTTTGAAGCACAAAACACTTTGAATTACATGATAATCAGATGATTTTAAGCAGAAAATAAAGAATTCTTATTCTCTTCTACTAAAATAGTAAGACACGGGTCTTAACGCGACGTTTATTAATGAGTCACATTATGTACTCACGGCTAAAAAAATATTTATTATTTAATTATTTATTTATTTCCAAGCTTAAGCCTATTTTTACAGAAATCCAATACAATAGACAAGCTTATTAAGATTAAAATCTTATATCTCTTCTACTACTTAGTAACAGAACCTGAGCACGAAATATCTCAAATACCTTTAATCTTAATGATAAGCAAGCAGTACTTAACTATAAAAGCTCTCAAGAGCAGAAAACTAAGTGTGTTATTTTCACTAATCTCTACTAATATCAGAGTCTGGTTGAGACGAAAACTGCCCGAAGCCTAAATCCACAGAAATGAAGTGTTTTATTGTAACTAATCTCTACGTAATACTTACATAATATATTATCAGAATTTAGCTATTTATTTATTTAAGGACAGCTAATACGATATACACAATTAAATGGAAAGAAACATTGAAATCTAATACATGTTTATAGTGTAAGCTTAATTAAAAGCTGCCACGACATGTGCATTGTGCACAGATTGCGTGGAAGTGTAGTATCAGAGTAATTACAAATGAGTAGGTCATCTTCATAGAAACGCACCGAGCGCGGTTTGTATGTGAGCGCGCCAATACGTATGCGGCGCAACACCCCGCTAATCCACGCTAATTTTTGTCAGTGTGTGCGTGCGCGCCGCATACGTATTGGCGCGCTCACATACAAACCACGCTCGGTGCGTTTCTATGAAGATGACCTACTCATTTGTGTTTACTCTGGTAGTATCGACTAAAGTTTAAAATATGCTATGACAAAAACATTTTATTTTGTTTAAATTTAATGTACTTTTAATTACAATGAATTTTTAGGTACTTTGAATTACTTACAATGTTTCTGCCAGTTGAAGTTGTGTTGGATCTCATGCCTCATGCCGCGCCAGAGCTTGGTAACGATAAGTGAGTAGGCGAAGGACATGATGAAGAACGGTATCAGCAGCAGACCAGCATCCAGGCCAAGATTGAACGCCCTTTCCAGCTCCAGGCTGCTCCATACTTCGCGGCATTTGAAGGCTGTGGACAAAGAGAAAATAAGTATTTAATCTGAAGACTCTTTCTAAAAGCAAGTGGGGAACTTTATGTTACCTGACGCTCCCGAGTCAAAGTACCTTTCTTTAAGTATACACTGAATATAATTATGCAGCAAGTAAGCAAGATAATTATTATAAGTGGACAGTGCCATTATGCAGCACTCTGACACTCGTCCATCTTACTAAAGACATCAAATTGTTGTATTTTAATTATGTGTAATTATTGTGCGACTTACTAACATAGTTTCTAAGACCTTTGTTGCTAACACTTTTATGGGCTATGCCTGAATTATATAACTTTTAATTTTAATAATTCCTTTTTGCGGCTAACTTTATCATTCGCATGAAGTTTGATGAGTTTTAATGTAGGTTGCTCTTACAAAAACTAATAACAAGTGGACATCTCTATGCTTCCCTGAAAAGTTACTTGAAATACCTACTACCCGAACAAATAATGACCATGAAAACCTACTAAACGAGTTTCATCCACGAGGTTCAGATTTATTTAAAAGTTTTCAAAGATACTAAAAGTGGGACATCTTAGAAATCACAAAGGGATTTCAAGAAATTTTCAATGCGAAAATCATTAATAGCAGTTGTTCGAAGAATAGACTCATTTATTTTCCCAGAACTGTTTTTAAAGTGACAAGAAACATCTCATCAAATACTCTAAATAATGTTACAGAGTTCAAAAGTTCATCAACCAGCACCAGGTTAGTCCCACATGAAAATTTGTCATAATTACAAAATTATGCGTAATTCTTGCGTTCTTTTGACCCCAGATAAACCTTTTAACCGAAACCATAATTTGCATAGCCCGGAAGCAAAAGCTGTTATCTCCCTTTGGCACAAATGTAATGAATAAAAGAGTTTGTTGAAAAAGGCTGAAGTGCTTGCTTCTTAAATTTTCCTTCAGTGGCGGATATTAGGTCTCTTTTGAGGTGGGATATAAGAAATTAGAAGTTTCATCAAGAAAACGCCGTTTCACCATCGTCGTACAGTATAACCATTTCAAATAGATGTCAATATTTTTAATCTCACAAAAATGTAGGCTAATCCATTGTCTACCCTACATAACTTATATTCATTTGCACAGTCCATAACAAACTATGGTATAGCTAAATCTGTTTGATGAAAAAAATATTAAAACAAACTATTTGCTCAAAACTAAGCATCATGATAGGTAATGAACTTTCCTCGAAAATAAAATTATCGTTGATTGATATGTATAAAATGTTATATCTTATTCTTGCAAGTACTTTTTTACATTCAAGACATGTCAATATTTCGGTCAGATCGTGCAGAGATTTTTTTATTTACCCTTAAATTAAATATGCAATACACGTGTCTGATGAAAGAAAACAAGGAAAAAAGTAAAATTTATTAATGGAACTGCGTTGAAATTTTCACAGTTTTTGTAAATTTTCATTCATTGCTTTCAATGAAGTCTCATTACGTGTTGCCCCGAGAAATAATTTTAAACACGTCACCCCGATCCATCGCGTTCCTTTACACAGCAATTCTTAACTATTCGATATTTATTTAATGTGCTGGCTATGTCGAGGTGAAAGCACACCTCAACTTCTTGAAAAGTTTCAGAAAACTTTAACGGAACTGCTGTGACTTTATTTTTAAAGGAATTTCATCTTCTCTTCAAAACAAAGAAACTTTGTAAGTGTTATGTATGAAATTAATGTTTTTGAAGTAAAATTTTAAGCTCTTTTATTAATTTTATGAATATAGTAGATAGTAAGAAGCAGTTATTAATTTTATGAATATATGTAACATATAGTAGCAAAGCAGTGACAAAATTGTATTTTCGTTTCCAACATAAGTAGACTTTACTATTTGAATCAATTAGTTAATGCTAAAATAGGTGTTATGGACGAAAATAGATTAAGCTTTATTGCATAAAAAAGGTAATTAAACGAAGTCCGCTTTTCCCGAAACATTTGTACTACTATTTACCTACCTACCTTTTAAAATTTTCCATTCCAGTTTCAGTTCTAAACAACTTTTTCTTTTTTTAACCGACCGAGTCCAATCCGAACTGTTTAATCTATCTAAATGAAAATTGCTGAAACAAACTATTTACATGTTTCTTTCGCCCAAAAATAACTATTATTTTAAATAGGTTGTGTTTTTGGCACAGGACCGGTCGTTGTGAAAATCTTTGGGGGAGCCCTTTTTCCAGTAGTGGACGTNCCATTATGGCATGTAAATAATACGTTTCAAAACCAAATTATAGGCATGACACCCATAGATAAATTATGACATTGTGTCAAAGTAAGTGTTGAGGATACTTAACGAAATTAAATTAAGGGTTAAATAGGTTGTGGTTTTGGCACAGGACCGGTCGTTGTGAAAATCTTTGGGGGAGCCCTTTTTCCAGTAGTGGACGTTATTTGGCTAAAACAAACGAGTATTTAAACGTGTCTATGTCTACTTCATATAATTTTAAGGCAGAATTCCTTATCTTTTCTCGCTGTAAAATAAGAAAGAAAGAAAGAAACATTTATTGCCATGGACATCACAAAAGACAAAAGAGGTAAAATAAAAAATAAAAAAGCAAATAAGACAGAGGTGACATAAAACATACAATGAAAGAGCAAGTAAACTAAGCAGTGCCACCCTGTCGCACAGCGATGCCCATCGCAATGGGACCCCACTCAGCATATGCCGTGGCCCCCGGTGAGGGAGGCCACGACGCTGGTTTTCAGTGTGCCCCATGCCGAGTGAGAGTCACGGACACTAACCTATACTGCATAAAATATAAAGACAATCAGATAAGACATATCATATTCCTTATTTTAGCGTTTATCAAGCTCAAAAGCGGCACAAGAATATTCCTATTGTATTATCCAGGAAATATTAAGAGCAAGGTGCTCCATACTCGTATCTGCCAATCAATTTAGGTTACAAGGCGAAGGCATCTTCGAAGCATGGTTCAATAGCTCGGAAGAGGCATTGACGCCGTGTGAAAGGTGAATATATTCACCGAATAATATTAATATTCAGGTCTGGAGCACAATCATTTATTTGCTGAACCGTGTGCGAACTCTTGGATCGTTCATTGTATGGATACACAAGGAAATTGGTAATGTTTACATACATAGTGGAGGAAAGATGGTTTCTTTTGAGATACATTTCATTTGTTTTGCCTTTTAAAGGTCCAGTCTAGTATACTTATCTATATTTTAAATAAGAGATAAGTTAAACTTCAACGAGTTTTCCTTCAAATACCATTGTATTCGTACTAATTTACTAAGAAATGCGTTTTATTTGGAACTCTCTCTCGGCCGCCGACTTTCTTAATTTGATTTTAATTAAAACGAACATTCACTGACTGTTGAATTCGGCCGAAAATATTTTGATTCATTTATTCTGCCCTGATTTATTTCAGCCATCGATGATCATCATTGATCGATGACGTCATCTTTTAACCATAAACAATATTTCACGAGGAAAATTATTGCCATTCAACACAGACGTTATACAAAGAATTTTCTCAGACTAAGCTTATTTTGTCTTCGATTATAAAAGATACAAGAACATTTTTTCCACGTCCTTTTTGCGGTAAAAAGGTCTTGAATAGTTTTGTTTGTGGCAGTTTTTTGGAGTTATTTACTTTAATGCTAGATTTATTTTGTGAGTATAAAGGAAGAATATTACCTTTTATATTAAGTGAAATATTTTTGGAAGCGAAATAGTATTTATTTTGTAGACAATTTTTTTCGTTAATTTTAATAACAATTGCACATTTGAATTTATCGAGGAAAGCTATTATTTATCATCACTCTACAGCTACTAGGGGTGGAGCAGAAAAATAAAATGTTTCAAAAATGGAAAATATCATTCAAACTATTTTCACGCGTGCGAAGTCGCTGGCACAGTTAGTTACAATAATAAGGCCTAAAGCGGTACAAATTTAGTTTCTCAAGTAATTATTTATAGTAGTACAGATAGTTCTTGCAAATATATGTCATCTCGTATATTATGAATGAGATTTGCTAGAAATTGAATGCCGTGTAAACTGACACCTGTGCTGAATATTGAGGCTCTAGTGGCTGCCTAACAATGGCCTAGTGGCTTCATACATATTTCTGGCTCGGAATATTTTGGACTCTACAAACAAGCATTTTACAATCTACATAGTGTTTTGATAAAAATTTTTGGAAAGTTCTAACTTAGAGGTTATTGAATGTATCTGAAATCTTGCAAATGAAATTGTGCGCCGCTTCAATAAAAGTAGTCCAAGCTGTCATCTTGACATGGTTTTGCCGATTTTCCCGGTTCACCGGCCTCAAATTAATCCCTAATTAATAAATAATATGTAGTTCATGGATAACTTAGCAATAATTAATAGTAATAGAATCTTCGTGCTAGCTAGCGTAAAGTCTATAGTTTTTTAGTTATGAGGGGGTCAACAGTGGCTCCAAATGGTTCGTGTAATATTACACACGGTGCTGCTCTCCAGTGCTGTTACTTGAACTTGGCTTGACACGCTACCATAGTATATCTAGTATACTTCGTGTAGACAGGCTGAGTAACTATTGTAACTAAGTTGGTAACATTTATCAATAACTCAAAAGAGACAAGAGGAGCAGATGGAACAGCAGCTGTTTGCGAAGATTGGAGTCGACAAACTCAAATAATTTAATGAAGCCTATAGGACATTGTATGATTTTGGCACGCACTTTGTAAACGTGATTTGAAATTATTATCTGTAACCGGCACACGATCGCGATTTCATTTTATATTCTGAATAAATTGTCCAGTAGTATATTTAGAAGTCGTTGACCTAGCACAACCTTATTCTGTTTTATTTATTTTGGTTTGTCCTTTTACATTTACCTATCCACCACATATATCAAGGAATTCATTCCACTTTGCAAAACATACTTATTAAGTAGGTACCAAAATTCTGAAGCGGAGAGGCGTACAGTTTTCATGTATTTCAAATGATCATACATACTCGTTTTATATCTTAACCATCAACGTTTGCTGACTATTAGCTAAGACTCCGACTTGTAGTTCCGACGACAGGTGAAAATGTTAAATGCACTAGTTTTTACTACAAAACTATTTAAATTAATTTGTTAAATCCTAGTTTTGTTTTAAGGGAATTTATTTAGTTAGTTTTACTGGAAAAGCGTTTCAGCGTGATAAGATTTACTAAACGATTGGATGATTAAATGAAATAGGTACTTACGAGGTATACCTCGAAATTGTAGCGAATTTCATTGTCTAAATTTGAGTACGGACGATAGCACATCAAGCTAAACACTGTACAGTCTTATCTCGTTGTAATAGAGGCTAATTTGCAACAGAAATGTAGTCTGATGTGCTGTCGACTGTACAATCTGATTACCTAGAAAATAATATAACAATATACCTATTTGTATTTTTCCGGGATAAAACCACAAGAAAAGTCCCCGCTCCATCGTAATACAATCGTCTTCTGTTCTGTCTTCTTCCAAAATCACGTCTTTCTTACTCACTCACTCATTCATTCCTTCTCACTCGCTCCCTTGCGTTCCGTTTCACACTCCCACACTATTATTACGCCATTCAGTCAGACAATATGCAAGCACTTTCATGTTAGCACTCGTAAGTTTTCGTCTGAGAGGTTTCTTTATATTTTCTGTAAAACATATTATTTCATCTCTTTATGATATTACCTACTTAACCCGGCGAGGCTGTGGTGGCAAAATGTAACAATGAGTATGTGGGGGGTGTCACATACCCACTTATCAAATTGGCCATAAAGATCATAATATCGATAAATTAAGTTCTAATCTTATGTTTTGTGATATTAATATAAACAATAAACAGCTTTTAATGAAAAAACTTTAATATTTTAATATTTTTTTATTTATTTATTTATTTATTTTATTGGGCTATCAACATGAGATACAGTATTATACACAATTAAAAAAATTAAGCCAAAGGTCTCTAGCTAACTGCTCTCACACAAACGATAACCACAGCATGCATAATATTATAATGTAAGCAACCCGTGAACTTTACACAATACAATAACATTATAATTTATTATTATTTAGGAAAATAAAAGAAACTGAGTTTTTTTTTAAACAAAAATAGGCATTATCTTCACAAACCTCTAAAATAAACAAAAACAAAATTTTACTTTAAACAACAACTACTAAATTAAGTAAAAAACATCAGTCTTTGAATTAGAAATAAAAAACTATCATAATACTTTGGAACAGCTTAGGAACTAGGGTCATCATCACAACAATTTTTGCAGGAAAATATTGCATGCTCTATATATAATTATGACCTTCCCACATGTTGAGCAAGAGTTCTTTGTCTTTCTATCTTTTTTCCTTGGACAATCAGCACATCTCGTATATCGCCCAGTAGTATTTTGGACTGAACGACTTGGTTCTTCATCAATTTGCGAATATAGACTGGAATGTTTTTTTGGTCTTTCCGTAATCGTAAATGTTCATACACCAGAGCTAACCCTAGATTACGAATAAACTCTGTTCGCTTTATGTTTACATTCCAACATTCAACTTTCGTTTTCGCTAACTTTGCAATTCCTTACGCCAGGCCGTTCGAAAATTATGTTCTCACTGCGAGTACGTAAATTAGTCGGCGGTGGTTTTTTGAGCCATTTCTGACCATCTTTGGACTCATAATAAGGAACTTGAACAGAAGAACAACGTCGATTTCTCAAAACTGACAGCGGGATATCTTCGTCAGAATCATCTACACTNGCCGCTAGTTAAAATCTAGTGCAAGTTCACTGACTTCTTGTTCTCGATCGCTAATCTCCTGTTCTGTCTCAGATCCTAGGCTATGTTCGCTGCAATGATCAGATTCGGGATCGGAGCTTGACTCGTCCGAACATTCTTGAAAAACCTCCTCTATCATGGACTTAAGATGCCTTTGATCTATTTCGAAACTCATTTTCGTTCAAAAACTAAAACAAAAAACGAATAATAAGCAAATAAACTAAAAAAAAAACAATTTTCAATTTTACCGAAATAACCACACACCAACTATGTGGCGGGGTATTACGTACCCAACAGGAGTTTGCGCACGTATATCTCAAGCGCCGGTTAGCGCAACACTGCAATCACGCCACTATCCCCTCCCGCAGCTCTTTAGCTCCAGCTATGCGGCGAGACAAACCGTTACAGCAAAAATTTAAAACAAAACGATCGTTGAAGTAAAGCGTGGGGTATGTCACACCCCACCACAGCCTCGCCGGGTTAAGTGTAGGTATACGTTTCAACAAGAAAAAGAAACCTAGCAAGAGTTCTTATTTAGGTTTAAGACATAAAGGTTTTAGAATTCATTCAAAAGGGTAAGAGGATTTGTAAGATCGATGACGTAGAAAATGCTACCCTAAAAAATTCTAATTTAGGCAAAGGTAAGCAAAAGTACCTTTATCCTTCAGACAAAAACAAAAAAGACGGATGATTAATATCCCTAGATTTGAAATCACCGGGAATCTTTCTGGTTAATTTAAATACCTTCTTATTGCAAATCCTTTTCTTTTTCTGCAATTGTAGTCAAGAACGTCAGATATCTCTTATCTAAAGAATAAAATATACTTACTAATCTTATATTGAGATTTAGATGAAATTCAATACTATTCAATTCATAGAATGACTACTATCCCTCATTTTAAGGGAGGTGGGCGTACATAGTTAATTTTAGAATTTCACATTGCAAAATTGAATTAATTTAAACGGCTTTTAACGCGATACGCGTATAAGAGGTGGGCGTACGATCATGTTTTTCTGTAACACGATCAAACCCTAAATTCCAACGGGCAAAAGCTAGCTTTAATTAAAACTTAATAAGAGACTTTTTATTATAATTCTTACTATCACTTACATTTTGCTCTACAAAGGAAGCTTTTTCTTGAAGCTTAACAAGAGCACTAACTGGCATTATTGTTTGTAATTAGAAGTTTCTTATCTTTAACTTTCTACAAAAGCACTTTGATAATAATAATATAATTTAATTAGGAAAATAAAAACATACAATTAAGAACACTAAGGCCCAGAACACACGGTGAAACGCAATTGCAACAAAACTGCAACTTCTAGTTACTTTTAAGTTGCATCTAAGTTTCTGCCATAGATTCCGTTGAGAGACCACACATGACGCGACCAGTTTGAAACCGGTTTGAAATTTGTATTATTCTTCTTTCTTTTTCTCTCACATGATTAAATCTGAAATAGGAATATTAAACGTATCTACTCAAAAGTAACTAGAAGTTGCAGTTTCGTTGCAATTGAGTTTCACCGTGCGTTCTGGGCCTAACTATAATGGTTTTTAGTTGATGTTCCCAAAAAAACTGAACTACAAAATCACGAATAAATAAAATAGACATGCCTAAGTATAGTACTAAATTTTGTATGTAAAATCCAACCAAATAGATCAAATCCCAGGCGGGTTAGAGAGCTTACATCGGACGCTGCCCGAATTTTATATGCCGCTTTTATATATTTTAATATGCCGCCTGGGTAAAATTGTATTATTCAATACACTTAAAAAGTTGGAAAAGTGGTAACTACCAGCAAAAAATACTACTAATACAAGCACGACCACCCTACACGCACGCAAAGACGTGTATTTTATGCACTTAGGATTTCTAATGTATTTCTAACTATTGCTTATCGTATTATTTTAACCGAATACAAATGATGAAGATAGTTCCACAATCTACAATCTCACATGCACCTATCGCTATGTCACATAAAATACGTGCAGCCAAAGGATTAGCCGTTCCAAATTTCAGATTGCATAAGATTGGTAATTCATTTATGGGAAAATGTATTAAATTCTTTAATAAATTACCACAAACTGTTGTAGAACTACCCATTCATAAATTCAAAGCACATATTAAAAGTACCTTAATGAAAAAGGGCTACTATAAAGTCGATGATTATTTAAAAGATAAAAATGTTTGGGGTACGTTACTGCCTAGCTCGCATAAATATTTATAACTTTGTACATTTTAAAGCATGTAAACCTTTGAAAAAGAGGCTGACAATAGTGACTGAGTTTCTTGCGCTGCTTCTTCTCAGCACTGGCCCATTTTTGTCCTGAAGCAGTGGTAGGGTTAATACTGGGACGTGTAAAAGTGCTTTTTTTAAGCCTATTTACAGAAATAAATGAGTTTTAATGAGTTTTAATGAGTTTTAATTCCCTGATGATGTCACGTTTCTGAAATTCGTACAACCTTAGCCTTCAAAGCACGGGTAAAGGCAATTTTTGGGGTAAGCTCGCTCCATCATAGATCGCATCAGCGCTGTGTAATCGAGAGCCAATCCATTCAATATAAATAGATAGAGACCCTATATAAAAAAACTAGCTGTGCCCGCGACTTCGTACGCGTGAAAATAGTTTGAATAAGATTTCCCGTTTTTGCAACATTTTTCTTTACTGCTCCGCCGCGATTGGCTGTAAGGTGATGTTTGTTTAACCTAAAGCTTCAATGAATGAGCTATTCAACACAAAATAATTTTTCAAATCGATCCAGTAGTTTCTTAGATTAGCGCGTTTAAGCAATCAAACACTTCAGCTTTATAATATTAGTATAGATTGAGTATAAATATGAAATTATCAAGCTTTAGTGACACAAAGATTAGTTTCTTGATATTATGCAAACTTGGTAGGTAAGTGGGTTAGTGGGCGAGAAGGCACGTCTTAGGACCGTTTAGGAGCGCGTTCAATTATACAGTAGAATGATTTGAGCTTTGAACTGTTATTAACGCCTACGTCCTGTGGGAATAAGGATTATTGTCATTAAATATACAAGTTCCCGAGCTAGATATTAGTAACAATAAGGGCTAGTTTCACCGGGTTTGGATAAAGTTCTAGATTGCTATCTGAAAAAGATTTTTTAACGCTATCTAATAAAAAAAAGCGAAAGTAAGTCTCTGGTTGTAGTTTACCATATAGATAAGTACCTGATAGGCTATCAGGGACTTCATGAGTCAAGTGCAGAAACAGGTCATAAGTTTCTTACTACCTACCATTGTTTATTCAACCTTTGAACCAAATATTGTTGTTATGCTATTTGCGGTGGCACTTAAAACAATCTACGTACCACATGCAAGAAAATATATCCTAAAACATCGCCACTTCTTGTAAAACGTGTTTATTATAAAGATTTACAAAAAATATAAGAGTCTTAACTAGTCGAAAAATGTTTCTTGAAAATCCTACCTTGGTGTTGTTACAAACGACGTAAATGGAGTTATGAAATTAGACTAAAAGTGTATTTTAACAGCACAATTCAGGAAAGTCTGGCAAATGTCTGTTCTGGGAAATGTTTTTTGTTAGCAAAAAATGAGAATTCTTGGCAAGTCCCTAAAGTTGATAAAAATGTGTTTTAATACCAAACTCATTAAAAATAAACGCTGACCTTTAGTAGTTACTATGTTATGTTACGATCTTTTATAAATTTTCTTATTCTCATTCTTAATGTTAAAAACTTAGTGCGTAAAGTCAAAATCAAATTGTCAAATATTTTGCTCTTAAGGAGCCTCTACATGTCTATGAGAATCTTTTTACCCAACCAAGCGCTTCGAGACCAATATTCAACGTAAAAAAAAAACCAGTTGTAAGTACCTATAGTACAAGAATAACTTAATTTGGGTCTAGGTGGTGCAGTGTAAAACGTCCAAGGATATTAATTAGTATTTATTTATGCATGACAAGGCAGGTATTTGTTTGTCGGCCGTTTGGTGTAGTGGTTCAGAAGTCGGCCGTTTGGTGTAGTGGTTCAGAACGGACTACTATGCCGAGAGGTCCCGGGTTCGATTCCCGGCCGGGCAGAAATTGAAATGATGAATTTTAATTTCTGTGACGGGTCTGGGTGTGACTATGTATAATATTTATGTATTTAAAAAAAAAGTATATAAGTAGTATATCCGTTAAGCTAGGACCCATAACACAAGCATTAAGTTGCTTACTTTGGGGCTAGCTGGCGCTGTGTGAAATTGTCCAAAGATTTATTTATTTATTTATTTGACCGCAATCGCACCTGATTTTGAGTGAGATGCAATCTTGGATGGTACATAATTATCTGCGCTGTAAGTTCCTATTCACTCTCGCCTTAAAAAGGCACGGATTATAGTATTCAGGAAAGACAGCACAAATAATTTATTTGATAAATCAGCATCATTTAACTTTGTACCACAACTGACATTTAGTAGTATTCAGTAGTAACTCACATGAGAGTACCCACGTCATGTGTGGGTAGCATCTTTGTAGCAGATAAACAAAAATATACCCTTTCAACGCGCGCAATAGATCTATTTGTATAGGACTCATACAGGGTAATGTTACTTGCCTATTTATGTTTGAACAAATAACATGTTTGAAGTCTTAACTATCCGGTTAAATGAGATCACTGACTTGAATCTTCTGGGAAATTACTAAACAAGTGAGATGACGCGAGGAAACTTCTCCAAATAAACTAAGTTGTATTTATTTGGTTTGGTCATACGTACTATTAATGTGACATTATCTACTTAATTGCGGTTGATCTCGATTAACTTCGATTTTTCTTCAAGTTAGAAACAAAACAGAGAAGTTTGTGACTTTATCGAATCGCAAACTATTACGAAAGTTGCAATAAGTAGTGGGGTAAATAATCCCTACTATAAGCTTTGTGTTAGGAAGCGAAGCAGAATTATTCCAGCTAATTGAACTGTCACTTAAGAATATCATAACTAATCTAATTTGCTAACAGTATTATGTAATCCAAAATAATAGTTTGTCTAAGGGATTAACCTCATTTATGACACTAAAATGATGTCAAAAATTGAGATACTTAAAATGTCGACTTGCTTCTGACGTTACCATTATACAGGATGTTTGGCGCATCGTGTGCCAAAATTATTTGGCGGATAGAATGGGTCATTTCCTATATTTTCAGCCCCCATAACACGTTCCATGCCAGGCGGCTACTTTTATACGAATTTTTTTAGTAATTTCACCAAAATACCTAAATCGCAACATTTAATTTCGATTTAAAAAAACTACTAGGCGTAGCCTCAAAGTAAATATTTAATTAATAACACCCAGGGGTCGACTGGCTGAGAATGCTTAAATAGCATTAAGTCCACCTTTTGTACTATTTTATTGTGCAATAAAATTTTATAATAATAGCAAAAAGTCTTAAAGTTCTGGAAATTAATGACAACATGACATACTTACTACAAAAAGCCGTAATTTTAAACACCTGACGTCTTACCCGTAAATTCCTGTCCTCGGACATATCGTCATTCAACGCTGTTATGCTTGGCTGAGGCCCGCATAACAGATATAATAACCCACCCCAAAAAGGTGGAGAAAAAATCAAGAAGTGTATAATAATAATAATTAGAGTCTCATTCGCACAATAGTATGGATGTATGTATGAACCCTTTTATAAAATTCGGTGTATTTCATTGAGCAAAAGCTGTCTATCTACGTCATACCACGAATGGTTTTGTGCCTATGGAATTTCAGAAACCACTAATCGCCCACGCAATCGACTTGATGGCGAGGTTGGATATTCCGAAGTGTATTTTTAATACAAAAATGTTTTCAAAGACGTTTTGCGTAAATGGTTTAAATATTAAAACTAAAAGTTCAGTATTTTAATAAATCGTAAAATAAGAATCACCTGCGTGAATCATCATCATCAAACGTAATCTTATCATCCCACCTAATAAAAACTACGAAGTTCTTAGATTTCAAGTAGGTAGCTAAAAGACATAACAACAAGCAATCATAATTCATGTTCATATCATGCAATGTCTCTTCATGAAGGTTGTGTTGATGTTTGCAATAGCCCATTAGAATTTAGACAAATAGACCCCATAGTTATTATAAAAACTTTCAAAGAACTAAATATAAAAAAGATAGAGGATATATGGGGCATATCAACAGACATAATAAAACCCATCATTCCTCTTATAGCTCCCCATTTAGCTCATATCTTTAATGAATGTATTAACGAAGGTCAGTTCCCGACCCTGATGAAACATAGTAAAATCATACCATTATTTAAAGCAGGAGACAAAAGTGACCTATCCAACTTTAGACCTATATCGATACTACCTGCGCTCAGTAAAATATTCGAAAAAAATATTTTCAATCAACTACTGTCTCATTTTAACTTAAATAAACTGCTAAAACTATAGTTTTTTTACGGTCAAAGACTTACCATTCCCCCTCATCGGCTGCAGGTTCGACACGATCAAGATTGGTGAGTTGAGAGCGATGGACAGGATCCACACCATCGCTATCATCTTGTAAGCATGGCACTGGGTCTGCCACTTCCTCGACTTGAGGGGCCGGCAGATCGCGAAGTACCGCTCGAGGGATATCGCGACCAGGGTCCATACGTCCACTGACACTGATACGGCTGTAACAAAAAATAATTTAAAGTTCCATCTGGTAAGATAGACAAAGAAAGAGCTTCGCCGTTGGGGTTAAAGTTTGCGAGTTAACCCTTTTTTTATCCTTATGTGACCAATGATTGGAAGTTTACGTAAGGGCTTACCTACTCGCTCGAAATATAATTGCTCATTTCTTGGGAGCCTAACCTTTGTATGTTATATTTTCTATGTACATAAATTAATTGTAAGCGAATCCTAAAAATTCATAAATCTTCAAATCCAGATCAGATCAGATAATTTGACATAAAACAATGCACTTAGTCAATGATAAATAAAACGAAATAAAGTAAATGCTACATTAGTACAAATCTCGAGGGATGTGCCATGTCTATCACAAGTTCACAAGCCGGGTAAAAGTAAAGTTTGTTTTGGCTTCAGTCAAAACTTATTCGTTTAATGTCATTTGATAAAGAGGTAAAGTTACTGTGTTCTTCGTAGTTTGATAAGCCTTAAAAGTGTCACGTAAAAAAGCAATTTTTCAATAAAACATAATTGAGTTTGTGAAGTGAGATGACTTAAGCATAACATTAAAGTGAAAAATGTTTCAAGTTCAGTAATAAACGACATATTTTGGCAGTTGTTGTAAACAAAAGAATTGAGTTTTCATACGTCTTCGTGCGGATTATTCCCATCACAATCCAGTTTTGCCGCATTCAGTAATTCAGAATCCCGCGAAACTGGACTGTCAATATACTGTGGTCATGTGAGCACACACGTGAGATCTCATAAGTAGTTTAAAATTCGCAAAAATCCTGCAAAAAAACAGTCCCTGCAAAAAACAGTCCTTTCAAAAAACGGGACGTCTCCGTAGGAACAAGCCCTTACAGTGACAACTTGTCAAATACCATTTTCTCGTTTAGTACCTACTATACCTTTATTACCTACCTTTTGTTGTCAACTTGGCTGACGCACTGCCGAACTCAAATGAAAAGTTTATTAAACACTAGCGGCCGCCCGCGACTTCGTACGCGTGGACCTCGTTTTACTCCATTAGGGGTGGATTTTCGTAAAATCCGCTCTTAGCACCTATAGCGCATACATTTTAAATTTCAACTCTCTTACTTTAACCTTCGGCAGGCAACACTTTTTTTGTATACGTAAAAGGCAACAGGGGTGACCAGTCACCCCACAAATATAAATTGAAATAAAATAGCTTTGTAATGAAAAATCAAACTTATTAATGATTAGATCTATTACTTTGTTTCATTATAAAACTAAAAATGCTTTCATTTAACAGTTTATATATTTTTAATAAATTATTTTTTAACATAAAGCACAGTTAAAGCAAATGTCTTTTCGATTTTCAGGGCATGAGGGTAGTTGACATTTTATACGAGATGTCATAACTTTTTTGTTCAGTTTTCTTTGACACAGCACTCGCCTTGCCTGCNAATAAATTCCAGCAGTATTGGTCGTCTAAACATATAATTCAATTTCAATTAGTGTCAAATATATAGTTATGATGTCATTAGAAATAAAATAATAATCATGAAACAAGTATTTAATATGGTGTTACAAATAGCATGTCCGGAGAGAAAAAAATTCAATTTTCAAGTAGTGACGTCAGGCTACAGCAGTCTCGATCGTCTTGCCCACTTCCGTGCTTGATCGTCTGAAACCTTTAGGTAAGCATACAAGTAACCTACTCCAGTATTTGTTCGTTAAAAATGTGTTCCCGGTATTTCTTTCACATTAAACACAAACCTTTAATTCTACCGTGATTATTTAATTTATTTGTGACTAGCGGCCGCCCGCGACTTCGTACGCGTGGATCCCGTTTTACCCCCTTAGGGGTGGAGTTTCGTAAAATACTTTCTTAGCGGATGCCTACGTCATAACATCTACCTGCATGCCAAATTTCAGCCCGATCCGTCTAGTGGTTTGGGCTGTGCACATCAATCAACAGATCACTATGTCAGTCAGTCACCTTTGTGTCGTATAAGATTAAAGTGGTAAGATTATAAGAGATTGTCAAGAGGTGTGATTGTCGTAAGCGAGTGGACAAGCGCCCGTGTAGTTCACGCTCTGCGGGCTGTTTTAACGACTCCACTCGCTCAAGCGCGCGGCTGTGGCTCTGCGGCGCCCAAACTTATGGCTTGTCATGGGGTGTACACCATGCATAAAGCTTACGAAGTATCACGTATAGACTCTTCTAGGCAAATATTTAAGAGAAATTCAAGTTCAAATATTTTATTCAGTACCTAGGCTCTTTCCAGGGCACTTACTTATACACGTCCCAAATATACACAGCTTGCCCTACCACCACTTCGGGACAACATATGGGCTGGTGCTGAGAAGAAGTGGCGGAAGAAACTCAGTCACCTTTGTCAGCCTCTTTTGAGAGCACAGACTCGGCGTGCTATTAGTAGCGGTAGCTTTTATGGCCCTTTGCGTTATTTGTAATGACGCCGACTCATAAAATAAAATAAAAATGATAGATGAGACAATACAGGGCAGGGTAAGAAAGTGAAAAAACGGTCTCTGACAAAAAAAGATTGTCTCATTTACAACGTGCGATGATCTGAATTTGTGAATTCAAACTAACCATATCTGTCCCTAGCAACAACAATACAGTGCAAGAGTGACATACCTCCATAAGCATGATTTTCCAGTTTGGAAACCGCTGGCCAACTGTTTATTTGTAACGAGCGCGATTTCTCACGTCTTAACGCGGAGTTTAGCGGGTCTTAGCAAAAATGAGAGTCGACGTGTAACCTGAAGAGCCCCCCCTTCCCCCCACAAACATCCAACCAAATGTGCATTTCACGCGAGCGGTAAAAGCTTAACTGTGAATACTTTAAAATGGCAAACGCGAATAAAATATTAAACTTGGTTACGTCTCGGTGACTCCATGGTAACCACTTGGTTTTGTGACTATAATCTTTTTGATTCGACACCGGGATTAAGCTGACCGTAATTTTAAAAAGTTTCTCATTAAATGTACGTAGTTTTATATTAACCCAATTTAGACCAGTTCAAAGCACCGTGGAGAGTTGCGGCGAGATATAAATATTTTTGAACACTGAAAACATGGTTTGAATGATACCTACTATGCCACGTATACAAATTAGCAAAAACTGTAGTGTCCTATAAATAGTTTCATTTCATTTGGTGGTCAACTTTTCATTTCAGTGATTCTGAAAATTAACCAAAAAGATGTTAAGAATTTACCACATTTTCACAAAAGTGAATATGATCCTTGAACCGTACCGTAATAGTCTTCTACATTTGTAAAGGTACCACAAACATTGTCTATCCTTGAAGGTCCCCTGTCCCCTGGGCGTCCCGGCTGAGTGCGGCTGGACCCTGCGAAACAGCTTATTAAGGGAAGCATTTTTAATAACGTAACGTCTCCGCCGGGACTCCGGGACTCCTCGCTGCGAGTGTCGCATACCTTTTAATTGTTGGGAAGGTATTATTAGCACGGCTGGGGTTGGAAATGTTGAAGTCATTGCCTTTAATTTTAGCGATGATAAATCTTTAACATACTCTTCCTAATAAGTCGGTAAGTTATATTACCTATCTCATTTGAAACTCCAAGCATACCAATCGCAAGCTTGAATTAGTTCTTGATAAATTTAATACAGTAATTTGAGTTATTTAAACATTCACAAACCGTAAGACTCGTTCTCTTAACTCAAATTGCTTAGATTACACCAATTAGACCTATCATAAATTTGAATACTACTACTCCCACCTCTCTTTCCACCGCTGCAACTCCTGTGTAGCCAGGATCTACTGCTAGACCGTAAATGTATTTTCTTTCTTTCTTTCGTTCAATAAAAACCCGACTAGGGATCAAGTTTATCCCGCGGGAAAGTTAAAGTATTGGGTCTATGGAAATTAATAAGAAGAACATAGGATGAGTTCGAAGTTAAGGTTATTACGTACTTAGGTTTAGAATAAGACTTTAGTTTTAGTAAGCTCTTCAAATCATGTCCATCTTAAGATAACCATCTCGTATGAGAATCCAAAGAATAAAAACACAAGTTAACCCTTCTAAACACAGCGGGTCGTTTGTATCAGCCAGCGCGGCATTGTGCGCGCGTCACGGAGTGCTATCGGCTGTCAAAGTGACAATGGAGTCGGCCCTGGCGGCGGGCCAGCTGCTGTATCGCTTCTGGAGATGCGAGGTTATCCAGGATTTACGATCAGTTTTTCAATGGAATACCAGTCGATTTTTCCCTGGGGAAAATAACGTGTTAAATGTTAAGTATAATTACGTTTAGGTACTAGCAGTTAAATAAAATTGTATTATTTGACGGGCAGCTCTACATAATGTTGGTTTGCCTCTTTCGCATTGGATCGGATAAATAAACAAATTCAACATCAATATTTTATCAGTAGATGAATTATTATGTAATGTAATGTTTTGTAAACATCAACATGTAACACTTATAAATCTTAGAGTTCAAGTATTTATTTATTTATTTATTTGATCACCAACAAGGTTACATTGTAGCGTTTATAAAAGTAACTTAAAAAAATTACACTTGTTAAATGCAAACTTAATTAAAGGTGAAAACAACATGCGTTAGAGACTAAAACAACAGCAATTAGGGGTTTTAAACCCTATTAGTTAGATAGTTCTTTAGAACTGAAAATATTTCATATGGTGTGCAAATCCGTGAGATTTGTCGAAGCATTTAAATCAAAAACATAATATGAAATACATCACATAAGCCAGTCTTTGCTACGATGGAAAATCGTCGATTTTAAGAGTGAAACGAACTGTTTTCAGCCTTGATTGTTTAGCCCTGAAAAAAACAGGTAATCTAATTAATTTCAGTAGGCTCACTGCTGACCGGAAATCGAACGCCAAATGTTAAAAAAAAGCGCTTTCTTTTCCCGCCCACCGCGCCGCCGCCGGCGCCGCGCGCAATAACGCGTGGGTAATTGCGGCGCGATTGTTCGCGGAACTTGCCGATACCGCCTCGCATGAATAGCAGGGACGGGGCTTGACTCACAGCGGAGGAGAGGTTAAGCTGAGTTGATTAACTGTGCGACTTCTTAGAGCTGGATAAATTGGCCCTTTGCTGCCCGTCCGGCGGTATCGCAAATTATAATGCTCATCTTACTATTCTCACAAAGTCAAAATGCGGCAATACATCACAAGCACCCTTCTCATATGTAAGATTGGTATATTTTAGGCCATCACCTATTCGTTCATATTGTTTCAGCCAAATGACGTCCACTGCTGGACAAAGGCCTCCCCCAAGGCTTTCCATAATAAAGGGTCCTGCGCTGCCCGCATCCAGGTTCTTCCCGCGATCTTTAGGTACTAGATCGTCGGTCCACCTAGCTAGTAGGAGGCCTGCCCACGCTACGTCTTCCAGCCCGTGGTCGCCACTCGACTACATTCGTCACCTATTACACTTACTTAAATGCTGTACCAGACGTCATCTATCAGTGTACAACTGTACATACAGTATTTATCTTTAATCTCTATGTAATACTTATAATAAATCTGTAGAGAGGTCAATTCTGTACATAAAATATATTTTCAAAATAACTATCAGGGTGTGATTAATGATCGATACTGATGCCAAAAATGCAATCAGTAAAATTTTTGTCTGTCTGTCTGTCTGTCTGTCCGTCTGTATGTTCCTTATAGAAACAAAAACTACTCGACGGATTTTAACGAAACTTGGTACAATTATTCTTCATACTCCTGGGCAGGTTTATAGTATACTTAGGAATTCCCACGGGAACGGGAATTAGCGGGAAAATCTTTTTGTATGAAAAATCTAAACCGCTTAAGTTAGACACTTGAAAGAAGAACGGTCACGCCTCATGCAAAAAAAACCCAGACCCTACAGAAACGAGACATACCTCAGTTTTTTTGTCATGTCTTAATTAGTTAAATTATATATTTTTTATATTCGAAATCTATGTATAACACCAAAATATTACCCTTTGTTTTTGTTCAGGCGTTATACAAAAACTAATACAAAATGCCTATTTATCACCAAAATTGGTAAATGTATGTACCTAAATGTCTATTACAGCTGCTATGGAATGTATCTAGGTGACCTGGAGATACAGCCGGATTATACAGGGTGGTTATACATATGGAACTGTTAGGCCGGGCNTTAAATAATCTCTGGGTGTTGCTTAAGATAGTAATTCATGCTTCCAAAATCTTAGAAATTCGCACGAAAATGTAAAATGGCTCTTAAAGAGATGATGAATAACCTAATAAATAAATAGATTATTATGATACTGTTTGCACCGTACCGGAAAGCCCAGCGTAGGACGTCCACCCACAAGGTGGACCGACGACCTCATAAAGGTACCGGCCATTGTGGAAATCATTGGGGGAGGCCTATGTTCGGCAATGGACGTCCTATGCCTGAAATGATGATGATGATGATGATGATGATGATGCTGTTTTAGATATTTTAAACTAATTACATAAAGTAAACTCGCAAGATGGATAGAGCACCTTGACCGCGGGTTCGGAACTTTCCAGAACTTGGGCCCGTATGTATAAAGTGAGTTAGCTTTTAGAACATAGCTGCATAAGCATTAACGGTATTGAAGACGTTCCGTTGGGAGTATAATTGGAGGTTGACTAGAGATGCCATGTGAACGCAAAATAAGACCAGAGTCCAAAATAACGAATGATAATTTTGCACTTATAGACTTGTTTTATTAGAATAACACGTTACTTACTATAAATATTTTTTTGTCTATTACGTTGTCTCATGAGGAATTCATTTATTTATTTTCAATAATTATAGGTAAATGATGATCTATCAATAATTTATGTCAATAATAATACTCGTAGCTGTTTAAGATTATAATGAAGGATTACAAAATATAAAATTTCCAATAAAATCCGATAAAAAAATATGAAATATATTTAATACGAACTGAACCGATGGCTTATTCAGATCATTTTGAACAACATGAAGCATCAGAAATTATTAATTCACGATAACTATGGATAATATTTCATGTCCATTATGGTTCACTACTAGGTACACGATACTTACCTACATTTTGTTTCAGGAATTTAAAAGCTTTTACAGTCAACTATAGGCAGATTTTAACCGCTATCTCACCTGATATTAGGTTTGTAGTTTAGATTTTAAAATAATAGCACTTATACAACACCATGAGGTGCAACTTGATAGGCTCCTTGCCTCCTCCTCCTTACCTGCAAAGAATATATTACAAAAAATCATCATCTGGCAGCAGGTTTCGACCCTAACTGTGCAATAGGAAATACATTAGCGAAATTGATATAATTTAAGCAATTATACAAATAAAAGTAAACACCCAATTTTATATCCACCCGGCACAATAACATTTAAAGCAATGTATTAAAAACCAAAGTAACGTGCATCCTGGAATCTCCGCAAACTTTAGGACGTCATTTCTCTTGTTTTGCCAACATTCCGGGATTCCCCGGGTGTATTATGAGAAGTATACTGCCGCTCGGATGGATCGTAAATGCAGGAATCACTTCGAGCGTAAGGATCTTGTGAGATCGGGTTTCCATACAAATGTTGTGGTAGGTATAGGTACCGCAGAGAGCTGTAATAAAATCATGTGAAAAAATGTATTTCATTGGACTTTAAACCTTATTACATCGGAATAATAATGTAGCGTAAATGTACAGATGACAGCACGTCAAGTTATACACTACCTACCACGGTACATTATTCAGGTGCTATTTCGCAACAAAAAATGTAGCCTGAAGTGCTGTTGACTGGACATTTTAGTGCATGTGATTGTATATACATACCCTTACATTTTATTTACGGTGATTTTAAACGGTACAATGATGCAGGGTAATTGCTGAAATTTGGCCAATCTCAAGGCTCTGTTTGATAATACAGGCCTTTCACAAGCTTAAAAAATGCTTGACTTTGTGCTCCGTTTCATGATACGAGCTTAAATCCACGTTTTAAAGTACGAGCACCCAGTTATTGACACAATCTCATCTGATACTAAGGGACTATTTAGGTCTTAAATGAAATAATCAATTAATACAATTTTATTAATGCCTTACATTGCATGCATACAGCATAAATACAGCAAACTTATATCTATTGACTACTCGTGAAAATAAAAAATATTAATAATAGAAAATTTTGACGAATAAAAGAAATCAGGACAATATTGAAATCGTGCTATTATTGTCGATAGTATAAATAACGGATATTTGGCAACAAGCAGACAAAGGAAAATGTAAATATAATAAGTTTATTACAACTGGGGCAAAATCGTTACTATTGATTTTTAGTTACAGTCATATTGCTTGCCATTTTATTAGTATCAATAGGTACAATATCGTTGTCTAAAAAATGTAATGTAAATGTACATTTTCTATTAGAACAAAATCAAACCTTGAACACGCTACCTACATAATAATGTTTTATACTAGCGGCCGCCCGCGACTTCGTATGCGTGGATCCCGTTTTACCCCCTTATGGGTTGCATTTTGCAAAATCCCGTCTTAGTGAGCACCTACATTCTAAAAATAACCCCAATGCAAAATTTAAGACTCCTAGCATTTGTAGTTTCTGAGATTTCGTAACATAATGAGTGAGTGAGTCAGTCAGTGACCTTTCGCTTTTATAAATATAGATTCCTCGATCTATTCTAGAATAATTAGGAAGCTCTCAAAAAGATCACAGAAACTCAAAAAAATCACCAAGACTTCGCTCGCAGGCCCATTGTTCCTATGCACTTTCGCACTAATTTCAAGCTGAGCGAGCAAAACGAGCTGTTAGGCCGGGGNATGTAGCTTTCGAATGGTGAAAGAATTTTTAAAATCGGTCCAGTAGTTTTTGAGCCTATCCATTACAACTAAACAAACAAACAAACAAACAAACAAAGTTTTCCTCTTTATAATATTAGTGTAGACAAAACCCAAATAAAACAACTAAAATTTTTAGGATCGGAATAGTTTGATCATTACTTTTCTCGATAAGTATTATTACTTTTCTATTACTTTTTTACAAATAAAATTAGTACTAAAACATTAATATAACTAACTTCTTTACGATAGGCCCTACGAGCGCTTTGAGACAAACATTTGACACGTGCTAAGAAGCTTTAGGTTATATTATGTTAGGACGGGATTGGCCTCGTGGTCCCGGCTAATCCTGTCAGCCCTCATTAAGTAGGGGCGTGGGGACGTCCGTGGAAGGTGCCTTGGTCGTTTTTAGTACCCAAGGCGCCGACTACAATGTGGCAGAGAGAATACCCCAGGTTTTTAGTCCCTTGGCGGTAGTTATGTATAGGCCATTTTCCTGGGTAAAAAATAGTACCTACCTCAACGAAAACATAGAACCACGTAGGCAGCAAAGCCCACTAAAACTTTATCACTGGATAATAATATGCTCGTATATCAAACCTCGCTTACAAGAGTTACAGCCTTGTAATACAATTAGGACTGAATAAATCCAGTTTTATTGCGGCAAATGATCGCCTTTTATGGATCCGGATTCGCATGATGGCAGGTATTATATCAAGGTAATGGTCTACTAAAGCATACAAAGTCTGTTAGAAATCGGTATCCACTAGATAAAATAACTGCTACATAGCTGTGATAAAATTATGTACATGCTAAAGTAACACTGTCTGTCTGTTACCAATTTATTTTTTAAAGAATAGATAGAACTGGGGTTCAAAATCAGTCTTAATAAGGTGATACAAAGTTTTTTATACTTTTGGTGTCAATTCGAATGTTTTAAAAGAGAAAGGCCGCTTGTTAAATTATTTCTATGATAGATAGAAAGACCAATTCATGCAGGCAATGCCGAGGGCAAATCCTTAGCAAATAGCGATTGGATAACAAAATGAGTATATCACTTACCTTGTAAGAATGGTATTAATTTGCAGAGAACAGCTCCAAAGAAGAATCTCCTGTAAATCTGCCCGACCAACGTGAAGGGTAGGCAGAACACACCAAGCAGGAAATCGGATATAGCCTGAAACAAAAAACACATCAGTTTAAATTGCTGTAATGGCACAATTACCGGTTGGAGTATAGGAAACGGGGCGCTATGGGGCACGAGACTTAGAAAAATTTTTATGTAAAAAATTTTTTTTTTTGATTAATGGTTAATTTTAACTAATGGTTCATCTAAATTAAAGAAACTCCGTGTATTTTCCGAGCGCGGTTATAAAAACAAATGACAATCGTGTATTAAAAAAAAAGATCATTAGTGGCCAGTGCGCTAAAAGAGGTTGAAACATATAATAAACAATTTTATTGGGGCGTTTTGGTTTCCCGCGATATTTCTGATTTCAAATACCTAGATTCTACTTAGGCCCAGTTTTTTGATTCGTTGTTAAATTAACCAATAGTCAAATTTGACAGATGTCAAATGACAAGTGGTTAAATATCAGAAAAAAAATGTTTTCGAACAATGATTAGCTTGAATTTTAGTACATTTTTAACTATTAGTTCACATTTTGTTAATATTTAACCACTAGTAGCAAACTGTTAGTTATTTTAAATATGAATCAAAAAACTGGGCCTAGTATTACAAATTAATGGAATGCCAATACAGAGAGCAATTTCGATGGTATCCTTCTCAAAAAACTTTATTCTAGATCAGTTATAAAAGTATACGGGTGGAGTTAAACGGAAGAAAAGTTTCTCGTTACTTAGCAAACAAAATTAGTATCTAAAATGTCTTAAAGTTCTCGGAGAACAGATACTCTTAAGAGCAAACTCCTGTAAGAATTACTCCTAAGTGTACCTACTCAATCAGAAATCTTGGAAACTAGGAACAGGTGTTTTTATTTTTTATAAGACGATTCGAAGATTCTTTTTTATAAGCCTAACGAGCAAAAGGACCACCTGGCGGTATAAATGATTACCGCCACCCATAGAAACCCACAGCCCAGGGGGAGTTACAGGTGCGTTGCCGGCCTTTAAGATATAAGTAAGTAAGTACGCTCTCTTCTTGAAAGATTGTAAGGTCGTATCGGTTTATTATATTGTTTATCGTACCGTAACCTTCACCAGATTGTCGGTCCACCTTGTGGGAAGCCCAAACTACGTTTTCAGGTCCACGGTCACCATTTGAGAACTTTTCTGCCCCATCGGCCATCAGCTCTACGAGCAACGTGTACCTACGTCTCCCACTGCCACTTTTGTCCGTATGTATGTTTTATTACGTTCGTTAAGGGGAATGGCAATAGTTAGTCGATAATACATATCGTCTAACTATCGCCATTAGTTATAACTAGGAGCATTGTTAAGAAGTTATAATTAGAACATAATGCTTTCATCTCTGGTATTAGTTGTTGTTACGCTACTAAGGCTGAGTTGCACCACCAAACTTTGACCGTAACTATAACGATAACCGGTGATTTTTGTATGGAGTTTGACAGATTTTTGACGTTTGTTACAGTCAAAGTAAGATGGTGCAACCCAGCCTCAGTTGACTTGACACCTTGTTAACGCGGTGTTCGTTCACGCTTGTAAGTGAAGCACTAGAGCCTAGCTAGACTATTATGTTAAGGGCATATGTAAAACTATACGTTGATTAGTTAGCGCGTGTTTATTACTCTGAAACTGTAATTAACTATGAAAGCTCTAGCTAGGAGAGACTGTTAAATGTCGGAGTTGGTCGGAGTGAAGAGACTATTCAAATTCAGCGATATGCAATGTTACGAAATTAAGGTTTCAAATATTCTGGTCTTTAGAAATTATACCTAATTCTACTTATGACATCACGTGCTTTAATGGCGAAAATAGCCCAACTTTTTAGGCATCATATCGAGCTTTGAGGCTCAAGCATCGAGGATGCAGGTCTGGACCCAGGTTCAGTCCTGCATCCTGCATATTTTTTTTACAAGTAGGTAAGTTTTTCACACTCACAGCTTCGGAAAATTCAAGCAATTTTTCGCCCTAGCGACGTGCGACTGTATCGAAAATACAATATTTTCACATCTCACTGCATACAAACAGAAAGTCGACGAGCCATTGTTTGAAGTGAAATATTTTTCCATTTACGTTTGTTTTGGGGTTGTGGTTGAGTTACTGTTTTCGTGTAAAGGCGACGATACACATGCAAATAAAACAGAACAATAGTTGCATATTGCGACCTTGTTTCCAACTAAAAAGCTTTGAATATTTTTTGTGCTATTTACTAGCTTTTTTAGATGCCAATAACTAAAACAACAACAGTATCATTAATGTCATTTTGATCTGATATTTAANCGCCTTAATGCTATTGACAGAGATACGCTTGTATTTAGTTCAGGACTATCTTTACGCAAGGCGTTAATTAAAACAAATTGATAGATATCGCACACAAGAGATGGTTTACTTAGTTCATCAGACCTACCTATAATTACGCAAGGCGTTAATTAAAAAAAATATAAATATCGCACACAAGAGATAGTAATTAAATACAATGCCTTTTCTTATCCCAATAATAAAATATCATTGATCAAGTTACTTCATTTCAACTCCAAATTCCAATAATTCTAAAGCACAATTTTTTTTTAAAAGAACTTTATTCATTCTGGTCTGAAAGGACTAAAAGTGCGATCATAATATTGTTCATGTTTTCATCCTTTGTAAGCAAATACTTTTGTACTTTTTAAGCAAATAAATTATTTCTATTTCTTAAAAATTTAATTAATTTTAAATTACCTGTAAATTTAGATTTTTGGTTGCAATTGAAAAAAGTAGTTTAATTGAGTTGACAAAATAGTGACGTCACTGATTAGTATTTCCATACAAAATCTATGGGAATGTCTCATCGTCAATTGATTGGTGGTGGCAAATATCCTATTCACTGTCATTATCATACATATTAGTCCTCGCCTTTAGTGAGAACCTACGATTAAGTTCATAAATGCTGGTAACGTGTACATAAGTGGCACTTAATACATCCTTCAGTTACTGACGACAGCGTTTTGGTTACTTAGTTTTGGCAATTAAAACCGAATCAGTACCCGTTTGTACTAAGAGCCATGCGCATAAACTTGGTTTATGTTTATTAACCTCAATATTGCTTATCTCACTTTGGACCATTACGAAACAACATTTAAAACTCGATTCAAGCTCAAACAGATATTTTGTCCCTAAAGTCGGAATACCTATTATTTAAATTCAACCAAATAAAAGTTTAATCGAAGTCATTAGATATTTTATTAAGTTTTCGTAGTAATACAGCGTGAACCTAAGCTGTCTACAGATGTCTATCTCTAGATTACCAATTTACTTCAACGCTGTGTTTAAGATTTAATTATGTACGAGTACTACGAGTAGGTATGTGTTAGACTAAGAGCTAGTGAACGTCAGACCTACGTCGTTTTTAAAATCTGAAAGTTTGTCAGCGTATGCTCCCAATACAGGATATAATGTTGGTGAAATAATTGGTGAAGTTTGGGTCATCGTGGCTTTGGCAGCTACCCTAAAAAAACTGTCTGGCAAGGATTTGGAACTGTCAAAACTGTCTGGCTGATGGGGAAACTACTTATAATATTGCCCTAAAACTACGTCTATTACTACTAAAACACGATATGGCGGGACTTATGGCCGTTTTCACCATCAATCCTTAATTTTTAAGTGACCCCTATGGTAACAAATAGCAGGCATTTTGTTTTCATAGAGGACACTTAAAAATTAGGGATTGATGGTGAAAACGGCCATAAGTTAAACTTCTATTAGGTACCTACTACAATTATACATTTTCATCAATAATGAGTCTATTACTAGCCGATATGTTGTCTAAAATATTGTTATATTGGAAGGGCAAGCTATACTATTAGGATGTCAATATGTGTACTGAAAAGGGCCTGTACAAAAATAATTTGAAAAATTATGGTATAACGCAAATATAATGTAACTAGCTTTCCGCCCTTTTTCTGCCACAGAAAAACTATATCGCGCGCGTCCCTGTTTGAAAAACCGGTATAAAAACTATCCTATGTCCTTTCCCGGGACTCAAACTATCTCTATGCCAAATTTCATCAAAATCGGTTCATGGTTTAGGCGTGAAAGCAAGACAGACAGACAGACAGAGTTACTTTCGCATTTATAATATTAGTATAGAGTATAGATTACTAAAACTCACCAGATTCAACAAGTAGACGTTTGTGATCGTCCTCATCCTCCGATTGCTGGCCAAAGTGGCTATCACCAAGCAGTTGCCACATATCGACAGCATGAATATCAGGAAGTACGGCGGCAGTATGAACCGCCACTCGTACGCGTTGTTCACAACCCTGACCGTGGTGTTTCTGATCGCCACCACCGTGGGGATGGTGGTGGTATCACGCATGCGGAGCAAGGAGGTGTTGTAAATCGCCGTCATGTTGGATCCATCCATTTTTACCTGAAAAGAAAAGAAACGTTACAAAAATAATGTTCGACAGCCATTATAAAGACGTAGACGTTAATTAAGCACTACATAATTTGCACTTGAACGCAGATTAGTTTTAACGTTATGTTTGTTTAAAACGGTAATTTATCTTGAGTAACAGTGAGTAATTACTTAGAAGCGCTAAGCTTTTTTCCACATCTAAATCTTTTTACCTTTGAAAAATTAGAGCCGATTTTTCAATAGACAAAAGATGAATCGAAGCTGCAAAAAATATCTAGAGAAACAAAAGAAATTCGTTTTCTAAAAAAATAAAATAAATGGTCAGTTGAATATTTGAAAAGGAGTTTTTTATCTAACCGAACGAAATCTTGTTAGTGAACATCTCGTATGCAAACTTTTTTTCCTAAATCTTTGGTTTAATTCTCTTTTCAGCCAGTCCCGATCAAATAACCGATAAAAAATTGACGAAGGTTTTATCGTTAACATTTTTAATAATTCAGGCGGCGTTTCATTATCATTTAATCAAAATGATAATACTGAAGATTATAACAGCTCTTAACAACCTACATAGAATTTAATAACTTTGAAGTTGTCGGCTACAGTTCGGTTAATTAAACTAAGTTCTTTGTTAATTTAAACACAAGTACTAAACATGCTACAACCAAATATTACAACGAAAAGTATCTTTGAAATAAACTCTAATTTAATTTAATTTTGAGATTAGTATTAAAAAATATTTTAGTTTAAGTACCTACACAATGTTGATTTACACGTTTCTTTTACAATGTAAAATCTATTATTAAAATTCAATGATATTGGTTCAGCAGTTTAGGCGTGAAAAAGTAAAAGTCCTCGTATGAAAGATGATGATACATCTTTGATAAAAAAAAAACGTCGGATTTACTCTAAAAGCCTTAGCTAGACTGTAGGCATAATGCATAATGTGACATGGCGTCAATTTCGTTGCCACCACTTCCCTTTCATAATAATGTGTTACATTTTTATATCTTAAAAATATACAGGGTGGAATTTTGTAATGCCACCGGGAGAAAAAGTCTACTCGTAATACTGTACATAGAAAATGTTACTCAAAGAAAACATTCTTTTATTTTTTAAAGAAAGAGAACTAACTGCATTCAAATATTTTTTTTTAATTCACCACCATACAATTTTCTGTGAACAATTAAAATAATTTAAGATTTCATGGTTTTCCTTTCATTTGATTTATCAAGTTTGTAAGAGAGATTTCATCCTTATACTTAACCCTAACGATCGATGCAATAAAAATACAAGGTGTAATTTTTAACAAATAGTTGGTTCGATTCCCGGGTTTGGCAAGCAAATTTTCAGAAATCTTTGAATGCAGTTTTAGTTCTTTTCCTAAATTAAGAATAATGTTTCCTTTGAGTAAAATTTTCTATTTACAGTATTCAAAGTACTTTCCCTCCAGGTGGCATTAAAAAATTCCACTCTGTATTATAAAAATGTAACACTCACTCCCGCCCTTTCGCATACAACCTGGATTAGACTCTACGTGCTAAATTTTTTAAATATGTGTTATTGCTGTGCCTAGTAAACCGAAGTTACGAAATTGACCTATATCGGAAATTGAACCCGTACTACACAAAATACAATTACTTGCCACTAATATAGCTGTTCGTCTGCCAGGAAAAGGTCATTCATTAAGGGCTTGTTCCGACGGAGACATCCTGTTTTTTGAAAGATCCCGTTTAGTACACGTGTATAAATTAACGTTCACACGAACACCCCGTTTGCAGTGTCCTGCAAAAAACCTATCCATTATTTGTATAGATCGTTTCATCCACGAAGACGCGCCCAACCATTCTTCCGCTAATGTTTGAGTATTATCGGTACATGCTAAATCATCCATGAGTGCACACGCACACTACAATAATGACGCTAGGATTGCTCGGATCATACTCCCCGCACCCCGCGTTTCCCTCGACCAAGAAATTGGTGGGGCGCGTCTTCTTGGAGGAAACGAACTATAATTCGAATATAAAACACACATAATGTGTGTTCATACGACAACCCAGTTTTGTGAGCTCCTGCATTGCGTGGAAACAAGCCCTAATACGAAATCGTCATTGCCAATAATAGATAACGTTCCAAACTAATCATCATCATCATCATCATCATCATCTCAGCCATAGGACGCTGCTGAACATAGGCCTCCCCCAATGCTTTCCGTATTGCCCGGATATTAGCGGCCTGCGTCCAGCGCCTTCCTGTTACCTTTATGATGTCGTCGGTCCACCTTGTGGGTAGACGTCCCACGCAACGTTTTCTGGTACGCGACCTCTACTCCAGAACCTATCAGATCAGATTCAGATCCAAACTAATAGTAAACATCAATCAAGTGTCTAAATAAACATTGATTTCACTAGAATTAGTGCTAAATTTAATTCTGTGTTGGGAATGAAGCCTACACAATCCCAAATAAACGATTAGTAACGTAATCCACCACAGTTAAATGTCAAATTGGGTTTTATGAGCAGGAAACGATTAATTTAATCCTTTGACCTTTCTAAATCCGGACTAAGCTAAAATGTTGCAATGTTAGGAGGTTTTACTGTTGATGAACACGAAACTTAATTGAGAACCAACTACCTGGGTTCGATTCCCACCTTAGGCAGTTCGATTTTGCAATTTCTTTATAATTGATTCAACAGCCAAGTGACCTACATATATCATGTTTGTTACTATTTCACACAAATACTGAACGGATTTTGATAAAATATTTTTGGTACTATTGTTTATAGAATCTGCATTGGAATATTCTTTGTTTAGTACATCAGAATAAAAAAATACAGGCTAAAATTTCTAAATATCTGTTACAAACAGGATTTCACGCGGGCGAAGTCACAGGCAAAAGTAACTACTATCGTAATAAAAAAAGCTATAAAAAGCACATAAACATTATCAAAAACTTCCTGAACACTATGAGGTAACAGTACAAAAGATTTCCTTATCCGTGAAATTGAAATCGATTCCAATAACGTTTATGCTTCTCTTTCGAAGTTATACAAAAGAATTTGGCCCTTTCTAATAAAAATGTTTTACTACCTCATACAGGTACATTTGGTACTTACAACAACAATAGAAAGTATCGACTATGAGTCCCAACTTTGCTAGTAGTAGGAGTTAAAGGAGACCTGTAAATTTTATTCTACTAATAATATAAACGTCAGTGTATATCAGAACCCGAATGATGGAACTAAGGATTAACTAACTACTAAACATAATGCAGATAAAAAATAAATAATTCACGCAATTTAAATTTCAACAAACAGATTTGGATAAAAACAAGGTTTTGCTCATCACGAAATAAGCCAGGCATCTGATTCTAGTGTCCAAAGATGAGCTAAGTCCTTTTGTAACGAACAAAAGAACTCAATTCTAAAGGCTTGTTAATTACTTACCACAAAATAAAAGCTGTTTTATAAGGATTTAGATTAATTATTCCTTAGCAGTCCTAAATTTAGGTATGATTTTGCCTTTTAGAGTTTCAAAAGTGTCTTGGTATTAAAGTCACGTTGGCGCAAACCTCAAGCACGCATTATGAAAGCGGCTTCAAGAATTTTAATAAAAACCCTCGCAAGCTTTCGCTTAGTTAAATTATTAAGTACATTGACACAACAGATTACATGTCTTTCTTCGAAGCTCTTAATAAGGAAATTTTGAAATGGAAAAATTGTTTCCTCCTGGCCAATTTGCATTGATGAAACCAACGTTGGGTTTCAGCGCAATAGATACAATTGATCATTTTGACTAATTTTCCCAATACATATTATGCATAGCTCAGCGATCAGAGCAGTGATCCGGCAAGCAAAAGACCGTCTTGGCTTTATAAAATCACATTACGCATCATAATACGAGATGCAATAATAAATTCAGATGACAAAACAACAGATCACATTTTTTTCTTGCCAAATCGTAACTATTAGGTACACACGCCCACACTGTTAACTATCCATTTCCGTTTTTGCAAATGGCGATTATTTGCGATAGAACGAGATGACATGACTTTCAATGGGCAGTTAACACTGTTGGCTATAGTACATAAGGTGCTGTTTAATATGCCATTTTCTGGATTAATATAGTAACTCCACATAACATACTAATAACTCTCTCCCTGACTTCCCACTGTCGCATATTTAGAGGCGATATTCGATCGTTAATTATCGCCTTTGTTCATCAATAATTAATTTAGGCCAGTAGAATTAAACACAAAAATTGATTAAATCGGAAATAATTCCTACAAAAGATTTTTTTGCTTTAATGGCTTCATTGGTTGCCCATTAAGACTCTCCTAAGTTTTCGACTTCGACAAAGTTGTGCTTAAGTGGTGGGGGCCCCCGAAAGAGGCATTTTTTCGGTTTTCCGGTTATACCGCGTAAAGGACTTACCATATCAAAAAGTGGTCTTCATGACGGTTGAAGGGCACTTAGTCCTGCATTGAATAAGACCAAATTCATTTGTTTTGGACAAACCGTTCTCGCGCTAAAGTTCGGCAAAGTAGAAAATATACGTATAATTAATGACCCTCTCCACGTCCAATGGTTTATTACCCACAGGCTTCCAAGTCTTGAAAAGGGCCACCTATAATTAGTGTTTTAGGGATGCGTGATTTGATGCAGAGGAAATCAATATTTAATTATGAAGCACTAATTTGGTCGGTAAATTAAATAAATAGCTTTTTCTAACAAATGGAAATGACGCATTATAAGACAAGTTATACCTACTAGCTTTTGCCCGCGGTTACGCCCACGTGAAATTAGTTTGTCACAGAGCATTACAATTCATAGCCTATATGTTCTTTAATATCTTTATTAGGCAATAAACAATAATTTTATATATTTACATAAGCTTAAAATTACTTAAAAACTATATGTTATTATCTCTCTCTAGCAACCGTGTATCGTAATCTAAAGAAAATAAATTATATTATGAACTTTTATAAGCGATCGGTCATTTAATAAGGGTAAAAC